GTATCTGTGCTACAAGTTATTTTAATTATTTCAAGTTATAAAAATAAAACATTATTTATTAATCAATTGATATATGATTCAAGTGCTTACATTCATAAGACAATTAAAACATATTTTGATTTAGAATTTTAAACATGTGAATATTGAATTAATTCAACAATATTAAATATTATAACACGTATACCTTATAACATTTTATTATATTAAAAAAAAAAATATATTTTATATTTACAATCTGAATTTTATACATATATTCCTAAACAATGTTCAACTTTCATCAGAACTTCCTGCATCACCAATATCTAGATCATCTATTTCTTCAAATAATGATTCATCAACTTTCACCGAATCTCCTAAAATAAAATAAAAGTGTATGTAATTTCAATAATAGGTAATATCATTGATTATATAAACTAGTTTATATTATCAATGGTAATATGTAAAACATCAATGAATTTTGGGGTACTTTTGACTAGTTATAAAATTGAATAATCCATATCAGAAACTAATTTAATAATTATTTATTGCAGTGGATATACACCCGACCATGGCCGGGTTCTTATTATTAGTCCAATCATGGTCAGGCGTAAACTATAATCCAGTAATTTTTGTTAATGCTAATCACATATAAATTACCTATAATGATTATACAAATACATTGTTTACATTTCCCCAAATTTCCCTAATTATTTTATATTATAAACATATTTTTAATGTTAAAGTTAAGTATACCAAACTAATTTCTTTACTTTTAAGTAAAAATAAATTTTTAAAGATAAACAAACCTTCTTCTAAGAATTTTAAATCTGATTCATTAAGAGATTTATCAGTCATAAATAATTCACGTCCAGTAAGTTTTTTATTTTTTTCCTCTTCATTTCGTTTCTTTAAAACTCCCAATTCTTCTTCAAAGTTGAACTTCCACCGCAAAAATGATTCAACTGTAACTTTGGTGCCTTCAAAACGTTTCTAAAAAAAGGAATAAATTTAACAGATGTGATTTTTAAGTTAATTGAACCAATTGTTGAGTGAACGTTACAAAATATTTAATAATACAATCAATATTAACCAATTCAGCTTCCATTTCTTTTTCACGCCTTTTATCATCATCATCTATTTTTCTTTGTTTTTCAGTATCTGAATAGTTATTCAACCATTCTTGTGCTGCTGATACTAAAGTAAATATCATCACCATCCCAACATTATCTTGAGCCTTAAAAAYAATTGATCAACTAACATTTGATTGATGTTATTATAACGTATTTATTACTTGTTGTATTAAATACTCTTTAAGCTCATTTTCTTGTTCTTCAAACCCGACAACATCTTCAATTTCCACAATGGGAGGATCATCAGGATATTTTTCAACATACTCAAATTTTAAGCAACACGACAAACCAATATCATGTTGATCACTATCAAACTCGTCTGATTTAACTGGGATTTCGAATTGATAATAAGGTTCTGAGCCCGAAACTAAAACACAAGTATTATTCATAATTTATAAATCACAATTTTCATTAACCTGATGTACTTACTTATCATTTCACCACAGTAAATGGAGTCCAATGCATCGATTTCGTTCTGTTGCTCTTCTTTGTAGTCCATTTTCTCACTATAACCATCAAAATAACCGGATTTATTTTTAATATTTGAACTATTAATGAGTGCTTATTTTACTAATGAGTAATATTATTTTACCATGAATTCGACTAGATTATGTGAGTCGTGAAATGACTGAAATGTATTTCGTTTCACTTTTGATTCTCGATCGTCCGAGACGCCAGTACGCCACGGGTTCGGGGACTCGGGGTTAAAAGAATGTTTAGTTTAGATGTACAAGATATAGTATCCACATTCCACATTGCCATGCTATAATAATATGGTGAGTGGCTATCAGAGTAATTTATTATCATTTTTATCAGCATTTAATATGATAACAGCCGGCGCTAGTTTATAGGTCTTTG